GAAAACAGTCCACAAAACCAAAAGACAACCGACAGAATGGGAGAAAATATTTGCAAATGACATATCAGATAAAGGGCTAGTATCCAAAATCTATAAAGAACTTATCAAACTCAACACCCAAAGAACAAATAATCCAATCAAGAAATGGGCAGAAGACATGAACGACATTTTTCCAAAGAAGACATCCAAATGGCCAACAGACACATGAAAAAGTGCTCAACATCGCTCGGCATCAGGGAAATCCAAATCAAACCCTCAATGAGATACCACCTCACACCAGTCAGAATGGCTAAAATTAACAAGTCAGGAAATGACAGATGTTGGCGGGGATGTGGAGAAAGGGGAACCCTCCTACACTGTTGGTGGGAATGCAAGCTGGTGCAACCCCTCTGGAAAACAGTATGGAGGTTCCTCAAACAGTTGAAAATAGAGCCACCATATGATCCAGCGATTGCACTACTGGGTATTTACCCCAAAGATACAAATGTAGGGATCTGAAGGGGTACGTGCACCCCAATGTTTATAGCAGCAATGTCCAGAATAGCCAAACTGTGGAAAGAGCCAAGATGTCCATGGACAGATGAATGGATAAAAAAGAAGTGGTATATATACACAATGGAATATTATGCAGCCATCAAAAGGAATGAGATCTTGCCATTTGCAAGGACGTGGTTGGAACTGGAGGGTGTTATGCTGAGTGAAATACGTCAATCAGAGAAAGACATGTATCATATGACCTCACTGATATGAGGACTTCTTAATCTCAGGAAACAAACTGAGGCTTGCTGGAGTGGTTGGAGGTGGGAGGGAGGGGGTGGCTTGATGATAGACATTGGGGAGGGTATGTGCTATGGTGAGCGCTGTGAATTGTGCAAGACTGTTGAAACACAGATCTGTACGTGTGAAACAAATAATGCAATATATGTTAAGAAAAAAAAAAAGAAGATAGCAGGAGCGGAAGAATGAAGGGGGGAAATCGGAGGGGGAGATGAACCATGAGAGATGATGGACTCTGAAAAACAAACTGAGGGTTCTAGAGAGGAGGGGGGTGTGGGGATGGGTTAGCCTGGTGATGGGTATTAAATAGGGCACGTTCTGCGTGGAGCACTGGGTATTATGCACAAACAATGAATCATGGAAGACTACATCAAAAACTAATAATGTAATGTATGGTGATTAACATAACAATAAAAAATTTTTAAAAAAGATATCACTACTGCTGGGAAAAGCAGCAATGTTGTAAATGCTTTTTCACTTTCACTATTTGTCTGGCAATGACACTACCTTTGGGTATGTGGGTCACACCCCAAATGACAATGATTCTAGGATATTCTTTTACCATGATTTGTGGGCTTGTGGTGACCTCCTCTCCAGTGGAATTATAACGTGTTTCCACATAACCTGGTGCAAGGAGACCCCTGGAGAAAAAAAAAAGAAAAAAAAAATTCATGGTCACTCATGTTAATTGAAAAGTGCAGTGATCAAAGTGAAAGGTTCCACTGGATGTGCAGGAAAGTTTTAACTCCTGAGCTCCTTCTCCTAAGCCCTCAAGAGGAATCCAAGCATAAAAAGGATGCTTACAATGCTAAGACTGAGAGAGCTGAGTTTCTGACATTCCTGAGTAGTGTGGAACAGTGTCTGCTTTCTCATCAGACTTTGATACTTCTCTGAGGGGAGATTTGAGGAAGAAATGGAACTGAGAAGGGTAGAGTTGATAAAAACGACTGGAAAGAGCAGTTCTCCTCATCATTTTAAGATAACTACATTTTCACCCAGTCCTTTTTGGTTCCCAGTGACTGCTAACAATTGTAGCAGTGGAAAGTTTATTGGGAATTGACTTGCATTTGGTAATTAGGGCCCTTCCAGCATTTTCATTGCACTTCTCAGAATTCTTTCAATTACCTGGCAGCACATAGGTGTCTGGATATACTTTTTAAAGAGGCAGGGCAAGGAGAAAAGGAAGTAATTACTATATGTTGAATGCCATCTCTATGCCAGCCACTGAGTTAGACACCTTACATGGATCATTCATTTAATCCTTTCTGCAATCTGATAAGATAAATATGACTTGCTTCATTTTTCAGATGAGATTACACAGTTCCAGGGGCAAAGGATCATATCTAGGTCTGCCTAAAGTCCACACGTGTACTACTTCCATTTTAGCACTCCATTTCCAAAGTCCAGGCAGTTGTTATTTTTTGCAAAAGGCAATAGTCTATTTGAGGAAAAAATCTTGCTGTACCATATAGAATAGGTTAGGGAATGGAAGAGCTTGAAAGCACAAAATTAGGGGAGAAAACTACTTTTGAAATAGTCGACATATAAGCTCATCAAGATTGGAGTGAGAGCTGAGACAGTGAAACTTGAAGGAAATGTTGAATGTAGCTGACCTGAATGCAGAGAATGAAGGAACAAGAGAACAATATAATGCATGAGAAAGTGGGCAGGTTAGTGTGTAGCTGGATGGAAGGAGCACTGGTGTGGGCATCAGGAGAGCCCAATTCCAGTTTTACCACGGACTTGTCCTTTGGTCCTAGAGTTTATTTAATTATGTATGTCTTTTTTGTTTTTCCTGATGGAAATGGTTGCAAATTGTTTTAAGACCTAATCTTTCAGTATTAGAATAACAAACTACAATAATGTAGGGGAAGATTTAAAAATCTATCTGCTTTTTCACAGAATTTGATAAAATGTATATCTGCTAGTATCTCAAGGATACAAACACTAGTAAACTGTTATTTTTTAGAAGGATCCAAATACTAGTAAACTGTTACTTTACTCAATGTGTTTTCACCACTTCAGTAGGAACAAGTATTCACTGAACCCCTTGGGCCGGTTGAAAGAAAAAACTTATTAGAGGTTTTCCAGAGCCTTAAGCAGAAACAGTCTCAATTAACACATTTTCCACATGCTGACTTACTGTCGGTAAGGGCAACATCAGAAGAAAAGGACAATATGAGAAGTAAAAACACTTACTTGTTTTTTTTCAAGTAAAGCACTGCTATTTTCCCATTAACTGTCATTTTATACTTCAATTCAGTTTCAAATTTTTCCTGCAAAAATGCACAAACATTTACTGGTGATTATAAACACACATAAATATTCATTTGGCTATGTCCATCTTTTTAACAATTAGCAAACAATGCTTGCTTTCTTTAATGGTAGTCTATATAGTTTACATCGCTAATGTCTGCTTCCAGTCTCTTCTGATTTGTTAGTTTGATTTAACCCTGCCAGCTGAATAGACAAATTATTTGGGACCTTTCTATCCATCCATCCACCCATCCACCCATTCATTTCACAAATATTATTTGAGTGTTAATTATATGCATGCCTCTACTCAGTTCTGGAAATTCAACTCTAAGCAAGAAAAATTGAAACCTACTGTCAGAAAGCTTATAATCCTGTGGAAAGACAGACAATAAAAGTGATTTATGTTGTATGACAAGGGATATAAATATGAGTGCAATGTAAGATGTCTAACATCTTAAGGTCAGGAAAGGCTTTCTTGAGGAAGTAACATGTAAGCTGAGATATGAATTAGCCAGGTGAAGCAGGGTGGGGAAGTTATTTGAGAAGAAGGAATAGTATGCCCACAGACCCAAAGACCTCAAAGACTCCAACTGATAGTTTTTTGGTCTGGAGGTCTTCTCACGGCTAACTGGAGGTCAGAATATGGACAGAACAACAGAAATATGTACTCAAAAGCAGAGAGAAGTCATCAGGAAGAAAATAAAGTCTCAGGAGTTCAGAATGAGAAAATAACACCTCAAGCAAACCTCATGTGGAAAAGGAGAACAGTTTTGAGATTTATATATACCAAAAGAGATACAGAGGACTGTATGTTGAAGAAGATGCTATTGGGTACTGAATTCTGATTTTCTTCTATAAAACACAGTTTTTTCACTGGGGAGTGCCACGATGTTGTTATTAAAGAGATCTAAATACGGCAGACCAAATATGACTGAGTACTGTTTCCTCTGCTGGGCTGCACCTAAGGCCAAGCTTTTCTTCTCTCCTCCCTCTCCTGGCCAGAGCAATACCTGAGCTCAGCAAGGGACAACAGTGAGTTAGAGACTTCAAGTCAGGGGGATTGTGTAGGGATTTGCCATCTCCAAGGTCAGTTGGTATGGTCCGCATTCCCCTTAAATGATTAGTTACTGGAGTTCTCTCTGATGTCAAAAACTCCGGGGTATAAATATCCTATACTGTAGGTCTAGAAGAGGAGAGGCTGCTGTAATTCACTTCATGTTGATGAATAGCAGGAGCTGGGGAAAAAAAAAAGGCTAAGGGCTGAAAATAAAAGTTATGGGGAATCATTGTACCACTTATCATTTAGATTTAAGAAAGGCCAGATGGAATTAAAATATTAGGATAGTAGATATAATCTCCTGTCCAGAAGAGCTTTCCAATTTCTATTTCCTGTCAGCAATGGTTTTTAGTGGATTTTCACCTAAAATATTATTTGGAGATTGTTTTAGAAAAGATTATTGCTTTTAGACTGGAAGTTTTAGCCAACACTGGCATAGAGATTATAGATGAAAGGAAACAATAAGGAAGAAAACAAGTATTTATGAAAGAGGGTGCACTGGGTGATGTGATAACTTTATGTCCCAAGTAGAAGTCTGTGGTGGAGAGCAATGCCTGCTAATAAAAAATCTACCCTATTTGTGTGCAACCTGGGTCCTGAACTATGGGTGAGGAGAGGAAAGATGCATCTTGATTTGGAAAGTACCCACTAGAAGGAAATGATTTTTTTTAATTGACCTGGGCTATTTTAAACCAGAAGAGAAGATTAAACTTACTCTCACAGACATGCATGTGCACAGACATGCACGCGCACACACACACCATAACTATAGTAAAATCAATATTAAAAGAAAATCAAGAGCCAAACGGTGTAATACTGACCATTTCTGAAGCATGGACAATTCCATGTTGACTTCACAAAGAATATAAGGTAGATTGGGCATTACATATAAGGAGAACACGTTAAGTAGGGAAAAACTCCTTAAAAAAGTGCAGAGAGGTGGAAACAAGTGTATTATTAAGAAAGGCCTTGAGAATACCAAAGCTGACTAAAAAGGAGGTTGTGTCAAAAGCAAAAGAAGACAAAATGGCTTAATAAACCATAACATCAAGCAAAAGAGCCATGATGGTTAGTCATAAGTTACATAGGACAGTGTCATAACATAATCTTGATCAGGGAGTTAATGATTGCATCCAGCTCTGCTTTTCAGACAAGTTTTCTCAAAATAGCCACATGAGATAAGCATTACTATTATTATCTCAATTTAAAGACATGAATTTGAAGTTCATTTTTGTCTAAATTTATACAAAGAAAATTAACAAAGTTAAGATGTGAATATAAACAAGGCTTTTCAATTCAGATCCTTTACCCTTTCACTCTGGATCACGAAAATATAAGGTTCATGCAACCAGTTAATCGAGTTGTAGACTAGATAAATGATGTATTTGCAATAAATAGCAAACACATTGCATCAACTGCATGTATCTACTCAACTATTCCAAAAATTAAGATGATCATCTATTAGGTACCAGTAACTACTCTATGGTTTTTCATCAAAATAAATTGTTCAAAAACTTAAATTTGTTTTATAAAGAAATCACTTTATAACTGCGATAAAAACACTGGATGTGTATTCAAATTTCCCTCAAAATAATGAGTGACAAAATGTATCTGGCATTTTATTTATTTATTTATTTATTTATTTATTTATTTATTTATTTATTCATCTGAGACACAGAGATACAGAGAGAGAGAGGGGAGAGCTTGAGCAGGGGGAGAGGCAGTGGGAGAGGGAGAAGCAGGCTCCCCGCTGAGCCAGGAGCCTGATGTGGGGCTGGATCCCAGGACCCTGGGATCATGACCTGAGCCGAGTCACCCAGGCACCCCAATGTATCTGGCATTTAAAAAAATTTTTTTATTTACTTATTTGTCAGAGAGAGAGAGAGCACAAGCAGGGGGAGGTGCAGGCAGAGGGAAAGAGAGACGCAGGCTCCCCCCTGAACAAGGAGCCCAATACGGAGCTCAATCCCAGGACTCTGGGATCATGACTTGAGCGGAAGGCAGACGCTTAACTGAGTGAGCCACGCAGGTGTCCTGATATCTGACATTTTTAAGAGAATGCTGGAAAGCATTTAAGGGAGCCATACTGATGAGGAATGCAATGCATATAGGTCCCATTTAAATTTAACAGAAACATTTTGTTGAGAAAGAATTATTTTTATAAACAATGTCTACTGTGGGTTCTGCTATTATAAACATTTGCTTTAGAAGAAATCATCTGTTAGGAACCTTATCCACTGGGGAAGTATGTACTCCCAGGGAGTGGCATCTTACAATATTTCTGCAAATTATTATTTATGTCTCATTTATCTATATTCTTCCTAGCTCCCAGCAAAAACTTCTGGGTGCAGGTACTTAGAAAACTGTTGAATGAATCGTTGTGTTTTAGCTTTTATCTTTTGACTGAGAATGTGTTTTTTCATTAAGTAATAAGAACTATACAAACTTTCATACCTTTCTCTTCAGAAAAGACAAAGGTAAATTTCATGTTTAATTACAGTAATTCATTCTAACTTAATTTTCATCCACAATATTTTATTTTCCACCTCAGTTTTATTATTTATGGTTTTGTTTGTATGTGTGTACATAGATACATAGATGATGGATAGATAGATAATAGATAAAATAAGTTGTATCAAATCTCTTTGGAAGTACACAGAATTATAAATTATCATAAAAGTATTAAAGTTTATTTTCTGTGTGACCTTGGGCAGTTTATTTACTGTCAGAATCTTAATCTTCAAAATGGGGCTAATGATAAAACACTGGATTATTGTGAAGAGTAATGAAAATAAGGTCTAACAACAAATGCAAATGTCTATATATAAATATGTATATACGTTATAGTTGTATATCTATCTATATATCATATGTAAATATATTTATGTATATTTTTTCAAGATTCTTTGGTAAGCCAAAAGCTGTACCTGTTGCTCTGGCTCCTTGACCTCTCTTTTATGTAGTGGATGAAGTCTTCTGGGATAAACCACTTCATAGTTCTTTACTCCAGGGAGTTCTTTGATAGCATTTACTGAGGGGGAAAAAAAGGTAAGAGAAGATTTAGTGGAGCATAACATATAAGCAATCTGGTTGATAATCATCAGACTTATTGCATTTCTGATGAATAATGCTACACACAGAGGCTTACCTGAGTTATGTCAGAGAGTTATTTAAGTGTAGAGATAGACAAAATCAGAAGCCCACACTTCCTCTCAAATCTTGAACCTATATCTTCAAATATATCCCCACTGAAAGTTTACAAGTGTTTCTCTATTTGGTGAAAATATTTCTTTTGGATTTTTCCATTTCTCCTTGCTCCCTTGAATCCTCTATAGAGGAATGTAGCAAGCAGTACAGGCAAAAGTTAGTACGGGAAGGCAAAAGCCAACCTAATCTAAGATGCTAATCAATGTCAGCATAATTGAGTAGAAGTACTCTGAAAACTACAGTGTTACAAAAATGAAATAACTAATGTGTGCCATTTCTGACTCTAATTTTTCTTATATTTTCCAATTGTAATGAATAAAACTAAGACACAGTAAGAAAACCTCCAATATCAGCTCCATAGAATGGAAAAAAAGCCAAGGCTTTTGCAATACAGATAAACTTTCATTTTTGCATACAGAGCATGAAAAGAATGAAAATTAGAGAAGCAAACAATTAGAACATTTTTACTGGTCTGGAAGGAAAATTTTTGAGCCTGCAGTCATATTGAAAGAGAACGGAACAGTTATCTCCAACCTTCTATCTATATTTTGAATTCTCAAGTCAACATTGTTTCTACAAGTTATTACTTTTTAAAATTTTATTATGTTATGTTAATCACCATACATTACATCATTAGTTTTTGATGTAGAGTTCCATGATTCATTGTCTGTGTATAACACCCAGTGCTCCATTCAATATGAGTTATGTTTATAAAATTTTCTTTTATTTTTTTGAGAGAGAGCATGTGCAGGCATGCACAAGCAAACAAGGAGGGGCAAAGGGAGGGGGAAGAGACAATCCCAAGCAGACTCCATGCCCAGCACAAGCCCAACTCCGGGTTCCATTTCAAGACCCTGAGACCTGTCCTGAGCCAAAATCAGAAGTCAGACACTTAACTGACTGAGCCACCCAGGTGCCCCTCTACAAATTATTTTTAAGAGGAATTCAGTTTTCCCAAAGCTAACACTTAATTTTCTATTTTCTCTTTTATTTGCCCACTTGATCGAGTCCTTGCTCTGGGTAGAGTAGCGTGTAAGGAAATGTCACTAGACCAACTCTTTGGTTTCTCAGGAGGCTACTGGTCTACCCAGAATATAGATGCAGTAGGAAACAAAGTATGGGCCCAGCCTAGCAATTTACTAACACTATGGACTGGAAAGGCTTTAGTTCTCTGTGTCATGACTAGAGTTCTCTCTAAAGATAATCCCAGCCTATTAAATTACTCAAACCTAAATTCTATTCTAATATAAATTTATGTTATTATTGTTGATCTTTTAACAAATAAAAGTGAGTTTTTTTTGTTAGTCATCTTGGATGACTTGTACAGTTATCCCAATAATACTCCAGAGAATATTTATTTTTAAAAATTTTCTTTAGAAATTAAAGCAGAATCTTTAAAAAAATCCTATTTATGTCACTTTTTTTTATCATTTTAGGATGGCTAAATGCACTTGATCACTCAAGAGCCATTTACTTCTAACTTTGAAGAATAGGAAAAGTAATTAAATTGGCTAAAAACTTATTAGGTCAAAAATGAAAAATTAAAGGGATGCAATAACTTCTCTTTCACTGGCTTGAGATTTACTCTTTTTTTTTACATTTAAATTCAATTTAATTAACATATAGTGTATTATTAGTTTCAGAGGTAGAATTTAGTGATTCATCAGTTGCATATAACACCCAGTGCTCATTCCATCAAGTACCCTCCTTAATGCCCATCACCCAGTCACCCCATCCCCACCCACTTCCCCTCCAGCACCCCTCAGTTTGTTTCCTATAGTAAGAGTCTTTTACAGTTGGGACACCTGGTAGCTCTGTTGGTTAAGCACCTGCATTTGGCTCAGGTCATGATCTTAGGGTCCTGGGATCGAGTCCCACATTGGGTTCCCTGTTCCGCGGGGAGCCTGCTTCTCCCTCTGCCTGCCACTCCCGTTGCTTGTGCTCTCTTAAATAAATAAATAAAAGATTCTTTTATGGTTTGTCTCACTCTCTCTGTTTTAGTCTTATTTTTCCTTTCCTTCCCCTATGTTCATGTTTTGGTTCTTAAATTCCACATATGTGAAATCATATGATATTTGTCTTTCTCTGATTGACTTATTTCACTTACATAATACCCTCTAGTTCCATCCACGTTGTTGCAAGTGGCAAGATTTCATTCTTTTTGATGTCTAAGTAATATTCCATTGTGTATATATACCACATCCTCCTTATCCTTTCATCTGTTGATGGACATCTGGGCTCTTTCCATATTTTGGTTATGGTGGCATTGCTGCTATAAAGACTGGGGTGTATGTGCCTCAAGATTTACTCTTAAAAACATTTCAAAACCCTTTAAAACCATGGATTCAACCTTAGAATACTTGAACTTTGGGTTTGCTTCTAATTTTTTAATTGTTGGAACAGACAGGGCAGATTAAATGATCTTTAAGGACAGTTCAAGTAGTCTATGATTTTATGAAAATAAATACAAAATTCCCCATAATCTTTTTGAAAAGGTAATGATCATTTGGATAAAGTTTTAATTGGTTATGATAAAATAAGTCTCATTACACAGTCAAGACTTCAAGCATAAGGTACCTCAATGACTTCTTGCTGTTACAGAGATAATCACTGGGCATTTTTATTTCTATTTAATTAATTTTTGGTAAAGGAAAATAATAACATTACTTTATAAAAAATTATATCAAATTCAAAAGCCTAAAGGAACATTACAATCATTTTCTTAACATTGAGTTAAAATTTTCATAATTATCATAATTATTTCAAAATAATAAGATGCCATGAGGTAAGAAAATTACTCTTGCCAGAAATGAAATGATGGTATTGACACAATTCCCTGGAGCTTCTTGTAAACCCATAATACCAAACAAGCATACCATAAGGCAACCACATGCTGTCTAGTGGATTTTGTCCAATCAATGCAATTAGTCCCACTAATATGGAGTTCTTGAAGCCATGTATTCACCAATGTTGCAACCATAGTAACTCTTCTAAAAATGCTGCATGAAAAATGGTTTCATCCAATACACACATTATTCTGAGAGTAAATATTAGTCCAACCTTCCCTGGGGTCATAAAATAATAACTAATTATAACTGATTCTTTTATAAAAGCAAAAAATGATAGCCCACACACATTTCCCATTCAGAAGTAGCGAGGGAAACAGGCCAATCCAACCACTGCAAGCTTTCTTAATATACACTCTCATCTCCATGATTCTAGTTAATATCTAAATCAATGTTTCATGAAATCAGAAATTACCAATTGACTTAAATATGGAGTCAAATACATAAATTAGTGGAGAAAATTATTCCCAACTTTTTGATAGCTGAGCACTTCCAAATGACAAACAAAATAAATCAACAAATGAACCAGAGTATTTTTTAAAAAGCCTCCAGCAACCTCTCATTTTCTTCGGTTTGAAATCAACAGATTTTCAGCTCTTCCCAAACTCTTGCAACAGAGTACATTCTCTAAAAGAAACAGATAGAATTTCTTTTAATGGCTTTTATTTTTATGAAACTAAGAAGGACTCTGAAAGAGACTTGAATTAGAACAAAGTAGACGGCAGTTAGAGAAATATGACAGACCTAAATATTGTTTGGCTCATTCATCCTTAAGTTTGATGGAAATGACTCAGCCTCCTCCCAACTGAATAACATCAGGCTAATTATTTTGAAGCCTGTGGAATAAACACAACTAACTGCCATCCAGGGATTATACAAATCTGAGACGTAACACAATATGTTTCTATTAATTCATTTTAATACTTGCTTTCTCTCTCCCAGAGAACTCACACAGTGGTTTACTCCTGACAAGCAAAACTTAGATGAAGAAAATAAAACTATTATTTTGGATTGGGTTAGATAATTATTTTACTGCTTATTAGTTTTAGAAAAGTTAAAACTCATTGACAAGATTAATATAACAGGCACTGGTCTGGGTTGCTACTTTATTCTTTAATGAGTTTGGAGCATTCTTGGAATTTAGCCCATAATACATAATATTGGCATTTTCATTTTTGTTCAAACCTGTTCCAAACTGTTTAAAGAACATCTTCCCAAACTAGACACATGACATTAAGACCTGGATCAGAGTTTATCCAATGTTGACTTCAGATCTGGGCTTTGCTGTACCCCTCAAACTATCTGGTGATTTTAAATTTAGTGTTATAAAAGTGAGTACAAATATCGAGGGAAAACACATCCTGATTAAGTCTATCATTTTGGCTACTAAGATTAAATTATAAATACTTCTGAGGGTTTTCTAGTCACTTTATGAAGACAAGAAAGCATTGCTAATTTGAAACAAAATAATTTCAAAAAGTACTGTATCCTTCAGATATCCTCCTGTAGTATATTGAAGACCTTTCTCTTTTGTCATTGCACTTACATCGTCACCCCCAAACAACTGTCACAACCTTTTAAATATTTGGGGTATTTTTTTCTATGATGAAATCCTATAAGTTATTTCTCTCAGGGGATGGTGAAGGGCAAACAAACAGCTGGCCTAATTATGTTTCATTCTTTCATTTCATGTATATGGAAACTGAGCACAAGTCATGGTCTGAGGTGCATATTTTTTCCTTTGGATGATGGGGGCAGATAAACAAAAGGGAAGAGATGGGAAAATGCAAATTGCTTTATTTTTTACATTCTGGCTGGGAAATAAATCCATGTGGTAATAATATCAGTGGGAATAATACCAAGGAGCCAGTCTTGAAAATACAAGATGGAAGGTAAAAGAGGAGGTAGCTCTCTGTTCAAGACGGAAGATAAGGGACAACTGTCTATATGTCCCCCTGTTCTCACAAAAGACACTGCAGAACCTCTGTCTCCGCCACCAAGTACTTGAAAATCTACAGTTTGAGACATAATTCTAAGGAAGTTGTCTCTTGGTGCCATGTTGTGAATGCAAAGACAGGAGAACAATTACCTCATATGCCCAATTTTTTTAAAGATATTATTTATTTATTTGACAGAGAGAGAGCTCTCGAGAGCACAGCAGGGGGAGTGGGAGAGAAAGAAGCAGACTCCCCACCAAGCAGGGAGCCCCATGCATGGCTCTATCCCAGGACCCTGGGATCATGACCTGAGCCAAAGGCAGACGCTTAACCGACTGAGCCACCCAGGTGCCCCATCATATGCCTATTTTACTGAAAAGGCTGTCCTGTGGGTGGACTCCAGGGTTATCTATGTGATTCTGTTAATATATCCTGCTTGATCTTTATGCTGTTGGATAAAGCTAGTTCCCAAGCAATTCTTATGTTTCAACTAAGTAAAGGATCCCAAAGAATTTTTAGGGATAGCACTTTTGGAGAATGTAGAGAAAAAATATTTCTATTAAGTTTGACTCACAAAGTAGAAATTTTGAGTCAATAACATAAATGCCTAGTACAGTTCTATATTTAATGATATTAACTAAAACTTTCACAAGTCTGGAAAACAAATCAGAAACCAGGGGTGGGGAAAATCACTTTTAGTGACAAAGTGCTGAGTGAGTGCAAGGGGGAGGAGAATCTTTCCCTCCCTAATCTTATACTTCTTGTTGATAATCTGTTCCTGTTACTAGGTCCTGGCAAGCATTCTAAAACCCAAGAAAAGGTTTGCTAGGGAAGGATTCCCAGGCATTGAAGCTAATGTGGTGACTTAAGCTCTAGAAATAGAAATAAGCTAAGGAAATGTGTTACCCAATCGAACTTAACCAAAATCTAATTGGTGAATTTCTCAGAAATGGAGAGACATGCTAGAAGTGATTTATTATTGGGAAGTAAAATTCCTCTACTTTTGAATTCTTAAATTCAAAATGGAAGTGAATTATCAGTTTAAGCTTAGCAGCAACATTATTTTAGTCAAGTAATAGCACAATGCTTTATAAGTATCGAATCGGTCAACTGTTTATTTCTAATTAGACATATTTATTATCACCAGTTATGGAAGGACTAAACATAAAAATGTGCACTCAAAAGGAATAGGACCCAGCCAAACTGGTCCCAATAAGAACAGCAGATACTTTTGAAAGCCTCCTGCACAGAGATAGCTAGTCACATCCGCTGCATCTTTACTGCTCTAAAAACGATCAGGTGGGACTTGACGAATTTCACTTTTTGACTCTAAGATCATATTCACTATTTAAATTAAGCTGTATTAAATTTTCCCTTTGGTTTTTATTTAGTCTCAGATCAGACCTATCGATTCAAGACGTCTTCTTACCTCTCCTTTACATTGAGTTTACATCAGTCACAGCCCCCTCAAAGCAACAGATTAAAACCAGTCCAACTGGTTAGTAAAATTGGTTAAAAAAAAAAAAAAAACCTATTGAGAGAAGATGAAAAGCAAGCAGTTCACTGACATATTTACCAGAACCTGAAAAGGAATTAGACACCAACCTGGAACTGGCGAAAGGAGGAAAGTGGCGGTCAGAAGAAGCCCCTGCAACATGTTGTGGGACCGTAGGGCCGCAGCAGCGCCTGCCGTTCGCGCTCCGAGAGCACGACTTGGTCTGGTCTGTCCCTGCCTCCTCGCAAGTGAGACAGAATGAAACTCCCAGGTTCATTCTTGTCTCTGCTTCAGGAAGTGTTTACTAAAGGTGTTGCACAATCTTGGAGCTGTGGTCCTGTGACAATGGCACAGCAGGCGGAAGTTCTGGCCGCCTCCTGGCTGTAGGACTCCTTTACCAAAAGCCATTGTTTCTCTTTTCTTGCTTCTCCTTATTCCCCGCTCAGAAGTAGTACGTTTCCAGTATGTTACTATAGCACAATAAGAAACCCTTTGACATAACTGACTGATGAACCTTGATAAGTGTGTGCATTTATTATGTATATTATAAATATATATAAATATATTTATATATGTATTTGCTATGTTGGCAACAAATTGTTGCGAATGTTATTCTTCCCTCACATGCATATGCAGTCAGTGAAACAATTTCTAATCCAATCCAATTATTACATAAAATTCTCTTTTCCACTTACCTCCTATTCTCTTCTCACACAACAGTGCTCGAGGGACCTTGAACTATCCTCAAATAAGAATGGATGATAATACAAGCTCAAGGTTTTTCAGATCCCCAAGGGCAGTTGTATCATCACTAAAAACCAGGAGTTGGGGAAGGCCTTCAAGACCCAAAGGATGTAATTCCAGAAAAACTTTAGGAGCTGTTGTTGGTGTGGTATAGTGAGGCTAAGCCATCATGTCCAGATATCACACTGTGTAATGAATTAAATAGCTAAAGTTGAGTTGCTTTACTAAGTTCCAGGTCCTTTATACTTACTATCATATTAATTCTTATGACACTTCTGTATGATAAATGCCACCTTACCCCGATTTTGTAGATTAAAAAATTAGGATTTAAAAAGATAAAGGATTCAAAAGATTAAGACTCAGTTGTCTTCCTTTTATATAGTAAATAAGACTAAGCATTCTGCCCAAGGTCATCTAACCAGTAAGTGGCAGGAGTGGAACTTGAACTCAGTATTGTCTGAACTCTTAGTCACACATTCTAACAGCTGATTTATACACCCAGTCTTATTTCTACTGAAAAATTATATAATATCTGCCTATGAAATACAAGTCCTAATCCTATGAAATAAAAGTTCTATTAGACAATCCTGAGGTTATGACATTGGTGTTAACCAATTCTTGGTCCACTAAAATTATGCGGTGTTCTATGGATTCCAAAGCGTATTTTTGTAATAGAGTGATTTTGATGAAAAGGGATTTCTCAAAATGACATATAGCATCAACTAACTACCACAAGGGACTGTTTAAATCTAGTCACTGAGCATGGAGGTTCCTCAAAAAGTTGAAAATAGAGCTACCTTACGACACAGCAATTGCACTACTGGGTATTTACCCCAAAGATACAAATGTAGTGATCCGAAGGGGCACATGCATCCCAATGTTTATAGCGGCAATGTCCACAATAGTCAAACTATGGAAAGAGCCTACATGTCCATTAACAGATGAATGGTTAAAAAAGATGTGATGTAATGGAATATTATGCAGCCATCAAAAAATGAAATCTTGCCATTTGCAACAATGTGGATAGAACTAGAAGGTATTATACTAAGCGAAATAAGTCAATCAGAGAAAGACAAGTATCATATGATCTCACTAATATGAGGAATTTGAGAAACAAGACAGAGGATTATAGGGGAAGGGAGGGAAAAATGAAACAAGACAAAACCAGAGAGGGAGACAAACCATAAAGAGACTCTTAATCTCAGGAAACAAACTGAGGGTTGCTGGAGTGGAGAGGGGTGGGAAGGATGGGGTGGCTGGGTGATGGACATTGGGGAGGGTATGTGCTACGGTGAGTGCTGTGAATTGTGTAAGACTGATGACCTGTACCCCTGAAACAAATAATACATTATATGTTGATTAAAAATAAATAAATAAATAAATAAATAAAAATAAATCTAGTTACTGCGCATTTCAGCCATAGGATTAGGAATATCACAGGTTTCTTTTCTTTTAATCCAAGTTCTACTGCTTTTTCTTTTTCAGAGAATAGAAAGGTTATACCCATTTCTTAATTGTCACATGATTTCCCCCCATTAATTCTATGAACATTCATTAGTACCAATGACATGTAAGACACTGAGATCACAGTTGAAAATAGTCATTCCCTTTGAGATGCTTACAGTCTGGTGAGGGAGATGCCATGAAGATGTGCAAAGTGAGTGCTACCTGTATATCATGAGACACTGTGCATAGGTCTGTGCATAGGCATGGAGGTCAGAGGCTACCCCTAGCAGGGCAAGGAAGACTTCCTGGAAGCAAGAATAATGAGGTCAATGAAAAATTAATTATGAGAAAAGGTGAGGACATTATGTCATAACATACTAGTTTGTGGTAATAGTTTAGTGTTGTTGGAGCAAAGAGAGCTTGGAGGAATGGGAAGAGATCCTATGTCTGGTTTTGTCAGTGTGCAAGTACTGACAATACTGACTTCATATTTGGCCCTCCATCTTGTTCATATTCATGGGATGACCTACCTTGGGACTACAGGTTCCAGGCCCGTTGGAGGGTTAATGTGTGCCCTGACCGAAAGGCAGGGAGGCTTATTCTGGTCTTCCCTAAAGTTGTTTAGATAACCAATAGAGATAATTTTGTTTCCCCCCTACTCCTTTGCCCAAATAGCCCCACAAATTCTGTTAAGTGTTAACGATCAAGTAAGTGCCTGCAGATTCTTTGACCTCTGCATATCTCCTCACTTTATAAAATCCGTAGACAAATGTTTGGACTCTGTGGGGAATAGCTGTGTCACTGTCTGGATTGTTGACCACCAGATTACCCCATCAGTAAGTTACTCTGAATAGAATCTTCTCACAGTTGAGAAGCCAGCCAGGAGATGGGAAAACAAAACAAGTGTGGGTGAAGGGGTCCTGCCCAGGGAAAGCCCATTGTCCATTGTCCACAGCTCATCTGTGTTGCTGGAGAATCTATGGGAGGGGTGCATAGGAGAATCCCTCCTGGCACCTTGCTGGGTCTGTGCACCTCGACTGACTGAACAGGCTCAGTGGCCACTCCAGACACTTTAATCAGAGAGTCCCTTCAGAGAGGTGAGTGGCAATTGCCCTACAAATCAGCTTTAGGGCTCTGCTCCTATCTCAAACAGTAGGAAAAAAGGAACTGTCTGGGGAAGTATTTTAAGAGATAGCCCCCTTTGAAAAAAGAGAGAAAGAGAAAGCCCCCTTTGGTAAATGCACTGGCAGACTGAATACTTCTGTTCAAGTAGAGCCTAGAAATCCCTGGATGAAGGAAGTCAAAAGAAAATTTTAAGATTATACCGAGGATGATTTTAACACTTGAATGGCCTAAATGAGGTTCTTTTAAAAAGTATCTAAGGGCGCCTGGGTGGCTCAGTTGGTTAAGCGACTGCTTTCGGCTCAGGTCATGATCCTGGAGTCCCTGGATCGAGTCCCGCATCGGGCTCCCTGCTCAGCAGGTAGTCTGCTTCTCCCTCTGACCCTTCCCCCATCTCATGTGCTTTCTCTCTCATTCTCTCTGTCTCTCAAATAAATAAATAAAATCTTTAAAAATAAAATAAAATAAAAAATAAAAAATATCTAATAACTGGGCGCCTGGGTGGCTCAGTTGCCTTCGGCTCAGGTCATGATCCTGGAGTCCCGGGATCGAGTCCCGCATCAGGCTCTCTGCTCAGCCGGGAGTCTGCTTCTCCCTCTGACCCTCTTCCCTCTCGTGCTCTCTATCTCTTTTTCTCTCTCTCTCAAATAAATAAATAAAATCTTTAAAAAAATATCTAATAACTGTATATGTACACCCTACTTGAGAAATCAGCTAGTAGATTAAACAACCTGAGTGGGATGCATACTTTGATTGTACTTGGAAGCCTCTAAAAACACTGACAGGATAAAATGGAGCCAGATGAGTAGATCAACCTATAATGTCATTTGGGTTGCAACCGAATTCCTTGAGGGATTGAAAGCAACTGTCTTTATCTTGCAAATTTTTGCAAAAACTAGAAAAGAGTCCCCAGAAACAAGCCAAGGTTTTTCAACATTTCTGGGAACTCTTATCTAGATCAGTCCCACTCCTAAGACTGAAACTTTTAAAAAAGGGAAAAAGAAGTCTTTTAAGGAAAGTATCTCAAAATCTAGTCACAGCTCCCATGAGGTTACTTATCAAGGATAAATACAAATCTTCACTATAACGTTTTTTTAGTTTATTGTGTCTGTCTGTATGTGATATTTTCTCCCTCCGGATGATATTGTTATAATTAATTTGTAAAAGAGCTCTATTTCAGTGGTTAAAAGGCATGCACTTGTAAGAATTGAGCATTCTAAAACTGAAAACAAAACAAAACAAAGAAAAACAGAGATTAAGTCAAATGTTTTTCATGTTCATGTGATCATGTGAAAAATATTCAGTATTAAAGCTAGTTTAACGGGCACCTGGGTGGCTCAGTCGTTAAGCGTCTGCCTTCGGCTCAGGTCATGATCCCAGGGTCCTGGGATGGAGCCCTGCATAGGACTCCTTGCTCGGCAGGAAGTCTGCTTCTCCCTCTCCCACTCCCCTTACTTGTGTTTCCTCTCTCACTGTGCCTCTCTCTGTCAAATAAATAAATAAAATCTTTAAAAAAAAAAAAGCTAGTTTAAGTTTGTTGGTTGAATTAAAATAGGCATGCTTTTTAGAGTTATAAACATCAAATACAATACAGATAATCAACTTATATTCTACCTGAATTTATTAGTTAAATTCATGTTGTATCTGTTGCAATTTGTCAGCAAAAATGATTTAACATGATAGTTGATTTTGTCTGTCTCATGAAGTTTTCATGAGTAATCAGTAGGAACAAGTAGGTTGAATAGATAAAATGGTTTGTAGATAAATTTCTAAATAGCTTTCAGAATCTCTGGTAACCTAAATCTTCAAAGTTTGGCTAGGTTAAATGATAAATTTGGTTGAATTCATTGGATACCTGTCTTTTCCAAGATAAAATACTGAAACATTGATTACTAAACATACATTTATCTACTTTTGTCTGATTACAGATAAAGTAAATTTGAGTCTGTTAGTAAACATGTTTTA